AAACGATAGGATGTAGTACTCAGAGTAAATATGTACAAAGTGCGGGGGCATACTTGCCCAATTACAATAACTCAGACCGGGAACAAACCCATAAATCTCCTAGGATAAGAAAATAAGCCAAAACCCAATACAGAGAGTAGGAACCATAATCCCGGCTAAGTCAAAGGCAAAGAGACCGGAAGTTTGATACCTACACACCCCAGAGGGATTCACACATCCAACTCTAGTATCAAAAAAGACCAACCACTGATCACCACTTGACCCTAGTTAGCCTTCAAAAACTATAGACAACTAGCACTAAAAGCAAGACAAAACTAAAAGCGATGAGCACTAGAGTACTCCGACCAATCTGCGAGGGGTGTTCACGGTCCGGTTTTAACCTGAAAAAACCGTCAATCTGGACCGCGGATCGGTTAAATGATCAGTTAAAAAAGCCTTAAAAAATCCGGTGGTTAATTTTTTTAAAAATCCGGAATCACCGGTCCGGTTAACGGATTAACTGCGGCAAACCGCCGGTTTAACCGGACCGGACCGGTATATATTAAAAAATTATAAAAAAATATATATACATATATATATATATATGGAGATGGTACAATTAGGCCAACTTAATATTGGGCTCCAGGAACTTGAGAGGCAAATTAGGCCCAGCGTAGAAGAATTAGGAGCTAATTGGGTTCGCACAATTTATGATTCTATTTAACAGAGGCCTAAAAGAGAAACGACGCATGAGTACCTGAGCAGCCTTCGTATAATACTATAATTCATTTTTTCCACCTTCATTTTTCATTTTCAGATTTTCTGTAACGCCCCAAAACAGTAATAATATTCAGAACGATTTCACTGCTCGACTATAAGTGAAATCTGTAATTTTTAGAAATTATCGAGTTATATTATTTATGCTAAATGCTCAAACATGATAAATTATTCTTTGAATAATTCTATCTCAAGTATAAGTTAAGATTAATCCATTAATTTGGGTTGATAAATAATAGCATGTCAATTCGAGAATTTATCGACTCCGAACCCTAGTTTGGTTCCGAGTAAATTTTCAGGTAAATTCCGAGCATGGCCAAGCATTGGTATTTTTATACTTAGAATATTTTTCTAAGTGTATAATAATATCAAAGTATAAGTATTGATCATTTTAACCGAGCCCTAGTGCTCACCCGAGCCGCCCGTGCTGAGCCCCGCACCCGCGCCTCGTGCCGTGCCAAGCACGTGCCTACCGAGCCCAAGGCTTGTCCTAAGCCTTGGCATAAGTTCCCTAAAATTTTCTAAGTGTTGGAAGCCCTTCCCAACCCTTGCAACTCAGCCCAAAGTCATTTTCCCCGAGCAGCACCATTTCCCGCGCAGCCCAGCCGCGCCCTCGCGCCCAGCCCGCGTCCCCGCGCCCAGGGCCCAGTGCCCAGCGCCCAGGCCCAGCGCCCAGCGCGACCAGTCCAGCTTCCAAGGCCCAAAACTCCATTTTTCGGCCCACTTTCCTCATGACCCATTTCATGCGTGTAATTATGACTTAATGAGGGACTAATTGAGCTTAATTGGCCCTAAGCATTGTTAAGGAAAGTCAACTAGAGTTTAGCATGAAGGGAAGCATGTGCACACATTAAAATATTCAAGATTCCTTTGTCCTTGTCCCCCATGCAACCTCCAAACCTGACCAGACCCCTTGTGACCTAATATTATACTATGAAATGGTCTCTAAGACCGTGCAAGTCAGGCCAAAAACCACCAAAGACATCCCAAGTCCCCATACCTAAGTGTGGGTGCCTAAGTCATGTGTTTTGGTCCCCTTTGACCTCACATAGCAAATTCCGCCCAAACCAGTACTTAAGGACCCTTCCTCAGTCCCTTTTAAGACCTTTGATCACTTGAAGCCCGAGCATATTGTTGATATCAAATCCAGTAATCAGAATTAAAAGTACTACAAGTCGGAATATATTAGAGCAAATTACCGACTTCTTAAGAATTACCGATTTCCGAAAAGATCCAACTTCCGACAGACCTTCAAAAGGATTAAAACCGACATCCGAGATCAAAACCGACTTCAAGACAACCGACTACCGTAAAGTTTGAACATTCCAAACAGAAAGTAATCATTAGAAGCATCTGATTGGACCAACGAAACAAAAAGGCAATCATTGATGTTTTCCGCCGCCTCAAACAAAGCAGCTCAATATTAAATGCATCTCTATCCATTTCGAGGAAGAAGACAAAAGCCACCGTACTATAAATAGCAGAATTTATGATAGTACGAGGATCTTTTTTTCGATCACATTGTACACGAACTTAAGACAATCTCGGTTTTTAGCTTAAAACCGACTTCTGTACTCTTGTGAGCAAAATCAATAAAACTTAAATAAAAATTTATCCTCATTTTCTTGACATCAACTGTACTTAATTTGAAGTTGTTAATTCAAGACAGCAACAGTTTGGCGCTAGAGGAAGGGCGCTTGAACCTTCGTTTTGATTGTTTGTCTTGTAATCACACACGAAAAGGATGTCGAATTCTGGACGAAATGAACGTAATCCAGACCCTGGGATTAATCGTCACCCAACTCATACAACTGGAACTTCTGCCGTGCCATCCACATCAATTGATTATTCAGCTTTATTTCAAGATCCAGAGTTCTTGAAAAATTTAACTGATTTTATGGCACAAACAAGAATAGAATCAACCACAGCGGCTAATCCTCAAACTCGCTCAACTCCAGTTCCACGAAGAAATAATATCCCTGCAACATCACATGCCACTTCCCATCCACATACACATGAATCACAACATGATGCAACAACTCAAAATCGTGGGGTAGTTCCGGTACAAACTCGAGTTCCAGAACCAGCGCGATCAGAAGCAACTGCAGAAAGCCATTCTGGACATCGACCACGACAGCCTACTCCGTCGTTACCAGAACTATCACGACATGATCAGCCTTCTGATTTACGACATACTCTTGAACAAACCCATGCTCGTCGTGGGCAAAATGAGTTACGTCGTTTAATTGAAAGGAATCGCCAAAGACGCGAATCAGAAGAGTTAGAGATGTTGNG